TTCTTTTTATGACCAGGTGATTTGTGCTCTTTAAGGGAATAAACAAATACAGGGGTGCCCCTGTTTCCTGTTGGGTCCTCCTTGCTAATGAGCCACTTAGATCCGCGTTTACAGCAGGGGTTTCTCAACCTTGCCTTGAAGGTTTAAACTCCCAGAATTTCCCAGGGAAATAAAACTAATATACAAACACTGAAAGAAGCAGGCTGATTGGGGAATTCTGGGAGTTGAAGCCCACACATTTTTAAGCTGTGGAGGTTGAGAAACACCTGGTTGGCAGACTAGCCAGACCAGTTAGATAAGCAGGAGAGTGTCACCATTTAGATACCATTTTATACACTTTATAAATGCCTCGTTCATGCATAGACCTATATGACAATGAGGCGCAATTTCTCAATCTCAGCAGCTTTTATTTGAGTGGATCTCTGCTCCCAGAATCCCCTAGCCAGCTTGCTTCCATTGATTCTATATCTGCTTCTTTTAATTCAGAGTCAGCCATGGCCAGTGCCTATTCGGGCCCTCAGAACCCCTTTTGACCAGATCCTGCTTGGGTTTAGAGGGGTGGGAATACTTTAAAGGAGCCAAATCTATGCCCCCAGCCCTGCAAAGGGTTAATGCATCCATCTCGCTTCTTTAAAAAAAAAAAGAAACTGATTTCTTCAATTTCTTTCTTTGTTGTTGTTGTTAATTGCGAAGTCGTGTCCCACCCATCGCGACCCCATGGACCACGTTCCTCCAGGCCTTCCTGTCCTCTCCCACCTTCTGGAGTCCATTGAGGCTCACGCCTCCTGCTTCAGTGACTCCATCCAGCCACCTCATTCTCTGTCGTCCCCTTCTTTTCTTGCCCTCCATCTTACCTAGAAATTTCTTTCTAGGTAAGGACAAAGAGTGGATAGGTTCTTAAGTTTTTCCTCCTTCCCCCAAATAAATGTATGATCCTACCCACTTTCTCAAAAAAGAGTAGCCTTTAAAAAAATACTAAAACAGCATCTTTGTGGCCTGCAGAAAGTTGTCCCCCATGGCTGAATTGAGAAGCACAAGGTCTTTGTTTCCTGTCTTCCACAGTTCTTTAGCTTTAGCAGAAAAAGGACATCCTGCCCCTTCCTCGTGTTTAGTCATGGCATGCTTTATTCAAGACAAAGCTCGTATTTATTGTCCTATTTTTTTCCCAACAAATTCTTGCTGTGTTTTCAGCAAAGAAAGCCGACTCCTCCCTCAGAGTGAAGGGGGAAAACTTCCTACACACCGTTTCTTTTCTAATGATATATGCAAAACACAATTCTTGCACGCTTAGGCTTCTCTTTGTGTTTTCTTCAACATCTGCTTTCCCAACCTGGTGCACTCATCAGTGTGTTGGGATTAAAATTCACATCATTCCCAGATGGACTGCAGGATGCTTAATCAGCTCCAGCCAGTTTTTACTAGCCTGCTAAAGCACTGTTTCTCAACCTCGGCAATTTTAAGTTGGGAGGACTTCAACTCCCAGAATTCCCCAGTCAGCACGCTGGGGAATTGTGCAAGTATGAAAAAAAACCCCACATCTGTATAATGAAATCACAAGCTTCATGATAGTCCAGTGAGGGTCTCAAGGGTTGTTAGTAACTGGCTCCAGGATCTATGAAGAAGATGGAAGCAGCTTCTGAATTTAGTTCAGAGATGGGTCCCCACATCCCCAAAACCTCTTCGTGTTTCTTGAAGCCATCATTGGCCACAATTGCTGAAAAGTGTCAATTCCTGTGGTTGCAAGAATGGTAGGATCGGTATCTCTGTTCTCTATAAAACTATCAAAGTCCTAGATATTGTTACCAGTGTTGAAAGAAAAGTCTTCATCGGGGTCCAATCCAAGCTGGGAATAAACAAAATGGAGACTGCTTTAGAAGGAAGGTTGTAGTTTATTGAGAAGCAGAACCACAAGACATGTGGCTCCGGGGCAGCTGACCACATGATGCTGGGAGTGATGGGTTTTTATACCTTCTTGGGCTTTTGTGTTTGGAGTTGCTCCTGTTCCTGTGCCAGGAACTTTGACCTGAGGTTCAGTGTGCCCTTTTGGTATTCTGATGGTGGTGGGTTAATCCTATTATGTCCTAAAGGTCATGTCCTGCTTCCTTTGGGTTGTGGCTGATGGCTGTGTGCTGTGTTGTTGTTTTTTTGGGTGAGGGATTGCTGGTTCTAATTCTATCACTCTGCTATTGTTAGCTATCAACTCTTGCTCCAAGGGATTTTGAAAGATTCTGTCTTGAATGGGCTTCTGCAGGTACTGTTTGCTCATGAATGGGGCCAAATGGGATCATCAAATCTGCATTTCTACAGAGCTGGCCTGCTCAGTTTCTGTTTGGGGCTATTAAGAAAAACTGGTCCTGCTTTTCTATCTTTAAAATCCTTCGGGGAAATATAATAGTCTGCCTTTTTAATATTCCCCCAAATATTTCTTTCTCGGGGGGGGGCTGACTTCCCACACCAGATTGGAGGATATGCGGTTATGAAAATTATCCTGTAATTGGCCCTCGGACATCATTAATTGTCTGTAATCAACCCCCAAAGCTGGGACATTTTCCAAATATGTCTCGTCCTTTCTTTCTCCCTCCCTCCTTCCTTCCTGCCTTTCCTTTCATCCTATGTCTACTCCCTTCTTCCTTTTTTCAGTTTCCTTCCTTCCTCTTGCACAGCTTCTGCCAAGTTCCAGAAATGTCTGTGTAACACATTTTGCACATTTGTAAACCAGGTTGTGAGGGGAAACTATGAAAGGACTTTGACACAGATGGAAGGGAAGCCCTGAGACACACTAAAAATAGGTTTGGTGGAGAATTTCTCCTTTTGGAGGATGAGTGTGCTATTCCTAGTCAGTTGGGAGAGATGGCCTGGATTTGTTTGTGCCATCAGAAAAGCTGAAAGTTGGCTTAGGCAGTGTTTCTCAACCTTGACAAGTTCAAGATAGGTGGGCGGTGCCAGGGAGCAGGTCTACAGCAGGGGTCCCCAACCTTTCTTCGTTGGCGGCCTGGTGCAGGGGTGTGTGGAGACACCTTTATGCGCAGGCATGCACGAAGGAGGCCACAATTGCGTGTGGGGTGCAAACGGGGCCACGAACACCTGCACAACGCTCACGCAATGCGCCCGCCGCCGTGATGCTAGCGCGAGTGAGGGGAATGTGCGCTCGTGGCGACGATAGCGTCACAAGATTGCTGAACCTTCAAGAACTCACTATTCTTGCTGCAAAGCTATTAAAATGCAAAATTCTGCAGCACTGCAAACTCTCCAAGAGTCGTCAAATTGAAAACAGCACAGCAGGCAGGAAGTGCGTTCCTTTGTGAACTGGCCAGCTTGCAGCTGCTGTGAAGAGCCAGGCAGCCTCGTGGCCAACCAGCACTTGGCCCTGAGGAGGCCAGGATCTGAACCAAGGAAAAAACTCGGGAGGTCCAAGAGGCATCAGCATTCCTGGGGGGGGGGATGGGATGGCCAAAGGGCTGCTTTTGCAGGCCGAGCCTTCTCCCGTGAGCCCCCTCCAGCCAGTTCGGACCAGGACTTAGCTCACTCGGCTGATGAAAATCCTCAGCCAGACTCTCCATTGGTCCGATGAAAGTTTTGATGATGGATTGCCACCATAAAGCGGCTTAAAGCTGGTGAAAGAAAAACCATCAGGTCCTGTCCAAGCCGGGAATAAACAAAATGGAGACTGCTTAGGAAAGAAGGTTCTGTTTATTGACGAATAAAATCAACAGCATGTGGTTCTGGGAAAGCTGACAAAATGGAGTTAGGATAGGTGGGGTTTTATACCTTTTTGGGGGCTTTGTATTTGAGGTTCTTCCTGTTCCTTTACAATGTATTTTGACCTGAGGTTCTGTGTGCCCTTTTGGTATTCTAATGGTAGTGGGTTAAT